GTTTGTTTTTCTCCCTTGTTTCCTGTCTTTGTGCCAAGCCAAGCGGTTCATATTTATCATATGAAAGATGATAGTTTTATCTGTCTTCTAATCAAACTAGTAATGAGCATATTTCCCAAAGTGCGAATCTTTTCCTTGTAAGGGACAGAAAAAGGGCTCTTATTTTAAAAACAGTCAGCTGTTGTTTCCCCTATGACCAAATGATACACTACAGTGGGAAACTTTTACACTTTTACTCTTGTTTTGTCTCTTAATCGCATGCACCGTGCACGTCCCGACACCCGAGACATCAGCTGGATGGTGGGGGACTTTAATCATGTTTTGCCTGGTGCATTTAAAAAAAAATGTGTTTGGCTAAGATGAAAGCACAGCAGAGCGTGCGGCGTCGTAGACTTACTTTAACCCTCCTGTGGCTTCAATTCATGTTTCCCTGCTGTCGAATGTGTGCTTCCCTGTTTTTATCTGCTTCACTGTGACAAACTGATTGAGTGAGGGGAGATTTGGAAAAAGAACCATAAGTTGTCTGCAGCTGCAGTCCATGATGATGATGATGATGATGAAATGTATTTATTTTCAACACTGGGACCTGGCACCCCACAACATGGGCCTGAATGGAAGTAGATTACAAATTGTAATTTTATTAGATTTTAATAAATGTTATATGGTCATTTTTATTAAAATTGACTTTTTTCCCTGAAGCTGTTTGTGTGGGTCTCTTTGTCACATCACTTTTAGTAGTTCAGCAATCGCTGAGCGTTTTACAGGGCTCAACGTGATTAAATGAATGAGAGACAGAAACGTTTTTTTAACAGCTATTAAAAAGACTGAAGCAGGAGCCTCCTTTATTTTTGTTTTTAACCTGTATAATAGTCACTTTCTTTTACACATAACTTTTCCAGATTCCTTGTAATGAACGTGTTTTTGATATGAGGACATCATTAAATCCAGGTTTTTGTACATTTTGCTTTATGCTCATGTCGCTTTTATTTTTATGTGACACTTGTAAACAGTTTGCGACACTGCCGGCGTTTGGTGGTAAGACTCGTGAGCCAATCTGATAGCACATCGCTTGTGTTTTCCTCTTCGCGTCGTAAAGTGGCTACGTTGTAGCAGATGACAATTTCCTGTGGGGATCTTTTTCTTTTCAAAATAAAGTGTCTTGAAAACTCATAATTTCCATTGAAAAAGCTCTGTTTGCGTTGGAAAGCTGAGCTAACTGAATATACCAACCATTTCTTTTCTTCAAACTAAGACTAACCCTTTCTTTTATAACAGTCAAAATCAAAATCAATTAAATAATCATTTTACTTTTAAGGATCTTTATTACTGGGCCACAATACATGCAACACATTAGATATCTTCTCACCTACAAAATGTACAATGCACAGTATCTGAAGCACAAATGAAGCATTTGAATTAAATTCCAAAGGCTATTATTCTGTTCACCGCATTTTAATTTTAAAATTAGCCATTTTTAAAACTTCTCAGTCTTTTAAGTATCAGCTGCTTAATTTGATGTGTTTCCACATGATTATTAGTAATTTAACAGTTCAGAAAGGGAATTTGGTCTGAATGCACGAAAGGAATCTGAAATAATTCAGTGCAAAAAGTTTTTTTTTAGTTTTTTGGATGTTGGAATCACTGCAGTAATGATAATGAACTGTGGAAAAGACACGTACAGACTGCTCATTCTGGAAAGAAAAAAAGGTTAGACCTTATTTCAAATTTACAGAAAGACAAAGTTACTGCTTAGAATGAGAAGGATCAGTCAAAACAAAAAAAACGAATAAAAAAACATTTTTTAATGGTAATCAATGTGAGACAGGTGATTTCAATCACACGACCAAGGTGCACATGAGCTAATCAGTGAGTTTGAAAAAAATTAAAGGAGATGTAGAGGTGTAAAAAAAAAGTACTTAAGAGATTTTTTCAGGTTTTAAGGGTTTTTTTTCACTGAGTGATAAATAATACTAAACCACGTTTCGAATTGACGCAAACCTTTGAAGTTTTATTTTGAAATTCTTGCACCGGAACTTACCTCGTGACTTCACGTAACTTGACGCAGACGTCACTACACGCTTCCAAGTGAAACTTGCTGAGCTCATTTCACTTTATAAAAACGCTCCAGCGCGAACGCTACATTTTATTTCTACCTGGAGTGATTAACGAAACCGGCCACGATGTCCGGACACGGTCATGGTCACGGTCACGGATGCGGGTGTGAGGGTGAGCATGAGCCCGCGGAGAGGGGCCTGGAGTATGGACTGTATCAGAAGATCGACCTGGAGAAGCTGCAGTGTCTCAACGAGAGCCGGGACGGAGACGGCAAGCTGGTGTTCAAACCGTGGGACCAGCGGAACGACCGGAACAAGGTAACACCTCTCCCCCGGGCAGGTGTCCAGGTAGAGCGCACGCTGCGGAGCTGCGCAATATCCAAACTAAACTTTACCGAGCTTTGAGGTGCAGGTTCAGCCTGGTCATGGAGTCAGCAGCTTGACTTCAAGTCCTATAACTTTACCAGATATTGATCTATGAAGGTAAAGTATTGATTTTAGATTGGTTTGTAAATGGGTGCACCAGGAGCAGGGCAGCAAACACGCGCAAAAGACACTGATAGAAACAAAATGGTTATAAAGAGAGAAAAAACATTACCACAAAGTGATCACAATAAGAGAAAACGACCACAGAATTGCCTTAAAGAGAGAGAGCGCCTCAAAAATGGTTAGAATTAAACAACAAAGACATAAAATGACCAAAGAGGTACACAAATTATCCACAAATAAAGCATAAAATTGGCACATAAAACCATTATATGATCACAGAAGACTCGCATAAACTCAAAAAAACCCCACAGAAGAATGTCAAATGACCACAGAGACATATAATGTGACCCCCGAGCAAAAAAATTGAAATGCAAAGAACAACCACAAAAAGAAGCTCCAAGTTGCCTTAAAGTAGGACAGAATAACATTATGACCATTATAAGCAAAATCTGATGCATAGTGACTTCAAAATATCCAAAGTAAAAACAAAAGAACTGAATAGAGGTTCAAGCAATCACAGGTATTTATAAAATGACCAAAGAGTGAAACTTGACCACAGAAATACCTTTAAAAACAGAGAGAAAATGGTTACCACAAAATGACCACAGTCAGGTGCATAAAGTGTCCAAAAATAATCAAAGTAATGGGTAAAGCAACCAAACTGAGACGTAAAACAATCAGTGATCGGTAAAGTGAGCACAAAAGTCAGAAACAAGACTCAAAGCACCTGCACAGAGACACAAGAAATTACCAAAAAGACACTCGAAATAACCACGAATTTACTTAAATGGCCTCAAACAATCAAAGCAAGATACAACATGACCACAGAGATGCGTGACAGGATCACAAAAGTGCAAAATAACCATAAATGACCAAAGTCAGGCATGAAATTACTGCAGAGAGCAGCAGGAAAAAAAAATCACCAAAACTGGACCCAAATTGACCTGTCAAGTCAACAGTCAAGGACCCAAATCTGGAGCTGAGGGATTTCAATGTTTTCAGTCTTTTAAGAAGTCGAGAATAAATGTGGGGGGGAAAAGGTATATTTTCCACCACAGTTAACTGATCGTATTCGGAGGGTTTTTTTTGGTTTTTTTTTAAAAAGGACATTTTAAAAATCATGAAAGGTGATTTAAAAAAAAAATAAAAAATTGTTTTCTGAAACAATCACAAAATGAGTCACATTTAAATGGAAAACACCTTGAAGTCTTATAATTTCTCAACAGGGACTTTAATGAAACCTCCCACACAGTCTTACAGATCCAAAAACACTGTTGTTGACTTCAGATATGTAATATTTTCATATGTCATTTATAAAATATTTTTAAAATAAGCCACATTTGACTCTGTGAGCTTTCACAAGAAGCCTCGGGACAGCTGAGGAGGGATCAGCTTTGTGAATATTGTTGTTTATGATTTCCCACGCAGCTGTCTGCTTTTTTTTTTTTTCACCTGAGCACAGTTTCAGTATGAGACATTGTTGTGTCCGCTTTAATTTTAGTGAAGCTCTTAATCAGAACTGGTGACGTCATATCAAACGCAAACATCTGCGGCTGCCTCTGTTTTCTGTAACCATAACGCCTTGTTTTTCTGTTTGTAGTTTGTGGACAGCGACGCAGATGAAGAGCTGCTGTTCAACATACCGTAAGTCCCAAAACGATGATGATGATCATGATCATCATCATGCCTGCATGTTCTTCTATTTCTGTATGACACAAAAAACACTGTATGCGTCTCAAAGTGATTTAGTGTATAAAATCTGTGGGCAGATACTTTTCATACTACGGAGCCCCGTAAGGGACATGGGGGGGGGAAAAAAAATTAAGACTGACTTTTGCTAGATCCCGAGTTAGTTTTGCGAGATCTCGCAAAAGTTCATCGTAGTTATTTTTTTCCTCCCATGTCCCTTGCCGGGCTCCGTATTATACTTTTAAAAAGAAAAGTAAAAAGAAAATATTTGGAAATTACTATTATAGTGCTGTCAGCGTGACGTTAACACCATAACTGCATCAACGGGGCAAATCTATGTTAACGAGTTACCGCTGATCGCCCAGTGCGTGGGGCTGGACGGTGTTAAC